GGGATGACTATTTCCTTATTCGTTGTCTCTACCCCCCCCCCCTCTCTCTCTCTCTCTCTCTCTCTCTCTCTCTCTCTCTCTCTCTCCGTCTCATTCCCCCCCCCCTCTCTCTCTCTCTCTCTCTCTCTCTCTCTCTCTCTCTCTCTCTCTCTCTCTCTCTCTCTCTGTGTGCGCGCCACACTGTTGTTCAGCTGAATTCTTCGCTTCACATCTCGCTTGTGGCTCTCGTTGTGTGCTTGTGTGTGTGTGTGTGTGTGTGTGTGTGTGTGTGTGTGTGTGTGTGTGTGTGTGTGTGTGTGTGTGTGTCCGGGGTGCTTGTGTGTACGGTGGTATGTGTAACTGTTTGTTTGATAATTTTATTATCATTATTTTTTTTTTTACCAAATCGTTGCTGCTTCTTCTTTCCTATCAAACATCTATGGTCTTTATACTCCTTCCTTCTTTTTTGTGTTTGCTACTCTCTTGTAACACCTCTAATCTTCGGCACTTATATTATGACCTTATTGTATTGCAAGTGATGTAAAACTTCTACGAGGCGCTCATATGACCTTAATTATGCAGTTGCGAGCGCCATAAAACCTCTACTAAAACTACTAAAAACCTCTACGAAAACAAAGCTATACCAAGTCGTTGTGGGGGAAGAGAATACTCCTGTCTACAGTCTCCGCGGAAGTATTTTCGAAATGTGAACAAGACGTGGCTATGTTATACAGTGTTATTTTTTGAGCAAGTGATGTACGGAAACTACCCATACTCGTGTTTAGTGGGTGGTTGGCGGGTGCTCTGGTGTAATTTGCTTCTTCTTTCCTATCAAACATCTGTCGTCCTTATCTCCCCTCCTTCTTTTTTATGTTTGTTACTCTCTTGTAACACCTCTAATCTTCTGGCGCTCATATGACCTTATGCAGTTGCGAGTGCCGTAAAACCTATACTAAAAGAAAAACAAGAAGACGACACATTATCGGTTTTTTCTCAGTGATTACTTACGGTAAGCCTTTGCGTGTGCTTTTATGATAAGTGTGTAGAATCTTTGGTGTTATCCCCTTTATCTGTATGGTAACCCTGCGGAAACCAGTCCAGTGTTTCAATCGTTAGCGCGAGGGAGCTCGTTTCTACGATTGGTGTGTGTAGGAATTATACGTGTTATTGTTGGTTTTTTATTTTTAAAATTTTTTTTTTTTTTTTGGGGGGGGGAGGGGGGTCCTCGTGTTGTTAAGTACAAGAGTAAGTGTGTGTGTATGTGTGTGTGTGTGTGTGTGTGTGTGTGTGTGTGTGTGTGTGTGTGTGTGTGTGTGTGCACATCATCTAGCCCATAGACTTGCAACATTAACCTACTTATCCCAGACGGTTCACCCCGACGTAATTCCGATACACCATGGAGCCTGCCGTGTGATTTTTATATTTGGGAATAAAACGGAGGACAAGGAAGGAGAGGTTGTACGCGTTCTCGACTATGGTGAAATATAATGTTGATGTTTTGCCCGTCATTTACTCTTACACGGTGCGCACCAGTGTGGTGGAGTGGTGGAGTTTTTGTATAGGGCCAAAATAAATAAATAAATAAATAAACTAACAAATAAATTAATTAACGAATAAATAAATAAATGAATGAATAAATAAATAAATACATTAATTAATAGATAGATAAATAAATAAACAAAATAGATCGATAGGTAGATCGATATCTAGATAGATTAATAAATAACCATGACACTCATAGATAGATAATTAGATAGATAGATAGATGGATGGATAGATAGACAAACAAATAAATAAACAAATGAATAAATAATAAATACGATTTAAAAAACAACAGGGTAGCCATGTCAGTGACCGATCTATGTTATTCCAGTTCCGGTGTATGGTCTATGGTCTATGGTTTCGTGGTCTATGGTTTCACCTCCGAGCAGGTGGTAGGAGGTGACTGGCCCTTTAACTGTCCACAGCCCCAGAGTTGGGCGTGTGTGACTGTGAGGGTAGACGGCTGGTGGTGATGGAGGTGGGTGGTGTGTGTGT